TCTTATATAGATAGTATCTTTCATCAGCAGATCTCAAAGTGCTTTACGAAGGAGGTCTCCATCATATCCCAATTTTACAGATGGGGGAAACTGAAGCACAGAGTGGTGACTTGCCCAAGAATACCCATCTTTGTTATCCCCTTCCCCTCACACCTTGATGTAGAAGTTTTAATGATACATTGATCTAGCTATGAGTGAGTTTACTGTGAATGCCTTACTGAAGATGAAGGGTCAAAGTCTGGTCATATCTTATGCCAGTCTCAATCTGGACAACTAATCTGAAATCATTTAGAAGATTACTCACAAGTGGTCTCACTTTCTTAAAGCTTTATAGATGGTGGCTTTCAATGCCCAAGCTACTTTAGCCAGGGAATATTTTGAAGATCTGAATAATTTACTCTGAAGTTTTGAAACTCAGACTTATTCTGGTCTGTAGCATATCTGATTTCTCTGGATAGAGAAGACCAAGGCTGAAATATTTCACCTTTCAACATTCCATTACATCTCACTAACAACTAGGTATTTACTCTTGCTCAAACGTACTGTGTCCATCCAGGCTTGGATAAAGCAAACAGTACGATTATATTTTAAATTAATACAAAACACATAAGTCTGGCCAATAAACAAAAAAAAAAAACAACCCCGCAAACTGTTAGGTCACAAACAGCCACCATTCATTCTCCTTCATGGGAGACCTGGAAAAGGACAATCAGTTTACAAATGATCTAACCATAGCTTTCTAAAATTGTCTCTGTATAATCCTCTTGCAAATGTCCAATGAGATTTTGGGACATGACCGTGGGAAAGCAGACTTACCATAGGACACTAACGCCATAAAGTATGTGAAAAAATAATACTAGAAACCACTGAAATCACTTTGGATTTGAAAGCACTATTCCATTTCCAGCAGGCTGGATTTTAGAAATACCTCTAATTCAGGAGCTGCTTCAGATAATAAAATTGTGCCCAGCAGCAGTGTACTTTAGTGTAGAACACTGAATGAGTTCCCTACCTCTATTAGTCTGTACCTTATAAAAGACGGAATGACAGACAAACTCTAAAATCAAAAGGTGCTTGGGAAACTGAACTGATACATGAGATACTGGAGAAAGCATAGAAAAATTGAACAAGCCTTTATTAACATATGCTTTTGGGATGTACCAGAGACAATATGATAGCTATCACCTCTGATACTGTGAAAAATGTCCTATATGGGTTATGCCCATATTAAAAAATGGTGTGATCTCACATTCTTCAAAGCACAAAGGAGCATTCATCCTTAATGAAAGTCTCTTTAAGGGAACCTTTCCAAGGAATAGTTGAAATTGCTGGCATAACTTAAAAGGACAATGACAAACTAGACACATTTTGTGCTCTGAGATATTTGTATTAAATACTTTACTTTAAGCCCAGATTTTAGAGGGATGCAATGATGTGTCTTCTCTTGTTTTGACCCAGGCACCATCTGCTGCTTTTCTGGAGAGCGGAACTGGAATCTTAGTTGATATTACACTTATTTTTGAGAGAGACTCATACTTACTGAGCTTCAAGAACTATATCTTATGACAGGTTTGATCTGACTTGCCAAAGCCAATAGCTGTTACAAAGAAGTGGGGTTGTAGGTCTATATTTAAAAGTTTTTTGCACTTAAAGCATGGATTCAACCTCTGATTTATTAAGAATATAATGCGTCCTCCCCAGAATCAGAGTCCAGAGTGAGTTTTCTGAGATTTTACAAGTAAATACTTTCGTTTGTTTGAACTAAAATTCATTTGAGAATGTGTCCTTTAAGGAAGTTAGCACTTTGTGTTGAACTGTTTTTCCCCCAAATGATCTCCATATCAGAATAAAAGACTTCAAAATGTTCATATAGTTGATTCATTAAATCTCATGCACAAACTACATTTGAAAAAATCAGGTTATAATGAACCTAAGTGATTAACAATTGCTATGTTTAATTATGATTATACAGATGGGCTAGTTGACAGCTGAGGTCACTCTCAAGGGAAGCTATTTTGACATTAGAGAAAACTCAACCCTTCCTCTATAGCTAATCTGCATTCAACAATTCTGTTAGTTGAAATGAGCCAGTGACATGAGAGAAACTGGACTCGCATGTCAAAAGTTCTCAGTAGCAGATCACTTGACCCCATCTGTTACTACTGCAGGTTGCATGGTCACATGTAAGCTAAGGCATCCAGTACTCAGAAGGCTCCCCATGCTACTGCTGCCTTTGCTACAATAGGCACTGAGGTTGCAATACAAGGGAAGTCCTTACAGCACAGATCTCTTCTTCCCATAGTGACATTCTCTCTAATGTGGTTCATTTCCCCAAAAACAGTCCTCTCCCCACAACCCCCTATTGAGGCCTATGGACATTTCTGCTTCCTTCTTCCCCAAATCCCCACTCTCTTCTCCTGACCCCTCAAAGGTTGATAGTACAAATCAACAATTTAAGATATAATACATTGCTGTAATTCTCCCCAAAACAAGCATTGCAAACGCAGAAAATAAAAAATATTAAGGTTAAACAGTTTAAAAGTATACAGAAATACAAGTTAAGGTGCCCAAACAACCTTAACTCTGTCCTGTAATGAAATCATGAGGGGGGGAGGAAATAATAATAATAATAAAAAAATCTAATATGCCTTTCAAAATCTAACTTGGGATCATGAACACTAAAATGCAGTAATAGCAATTGTATAGTTATTGCATGGTAGCATTACACTTCAAGGATGTGTTCACCAATTATGGGGATTGTCTGCTAAATGATCTTATGATAGGCTTAAAAAAAGAGCCACAAAATAAGTTTAATATTTATTTCAGGCATTTCTATTCTAAAATACATTGGAGTTAGATTTAGAAGAAGAAAAATAGTAGTGATATCTACACTCCAATCTTTTGAATTTCACGATGAACCCACAACTGCCAGGAAAACAATAAAATCATACAGCTGCTAACACAATAACGTCGACACCTATACCTGACACTACTTCCAAGTAATTATTACCTTTTTATATTAAAAAAATAATGAATTTTATGTGCCTAGAATACTTTGCAGTAGGAACACCATCAACATTTTATGTTTGCCATAGCTGTTTTTATTTAAACTCAAATTCTGAGCACAGCACTCAGTCTGAGAAGCAGACTAGGTACCGCGCAGATACATGGGGCGGGGGGGCAGGGGAAGAATACTCACTCTACAATCTGCAGCATGGCTCCAAAGCTCCTCCATAGAGGCTACCTTCAGCTCAAAGGCTGAAACAGCTCTGTGGGACTGTTACAGAGTGTATGTGATGAGGTTAATGGACCGCACGGGACTCAAGCAGCCCTACCACGCATACAAGGCATGTCAGGCCTGGAGAGAAGATGTAAAAGGGAGAAGCCTAGCTCCGCTGGTGTCAGACCTAGGAGGAGGACAGAGCCTTTGGATGGAGGTGTGGTTTGACCAAAAGCTGGTGTCAGACCAAAAGCTGTGTGAGTTCAGGGGGTGCCCCCGCAGACCAATACAGGGACTTTTACACACACCCCATGCCCACTTTGAGGCAGATTCTCAGGTCACACCCCTCTCCTGGTCTGCCCATGTCCCACTGGCTGGGGAACTTTCACACCCATGGGAAGAGGATCTGCATTTGACCTTTTATTTGTTGTTTGTTTCTAATCCAGTGGGATTAATTATGGATGATATAACCTCAATTACAGCAAGGGTAGGCTATAAGGATTTGATGGAATGGAGAACTTGGCTATAGACAGCAAAATGAAATTAAACAGACAAATGTAAGGTGCTACGGAGAATAAAAACCAAATGAACAAATACAGAAGGGGGGGGGGAACTGGCTTGGCAGAAGCACTGTTGAGAAGGATCTGGGAGTTGTGGTGGATCACAATCTCAACGTGAGTTAGCAATGTGATGCTGTTACCATAAAAAGCAAATGCAATTTTAGATTGCACTAACAGAGGCATAGCATGCAAATCACGGGAGGTGATAGTACTGCTCTACTTGGCTCAGCTGGAGCACTGGGTCCAATTTTGGTCACGAATGTACAGAAAGGACGTAGAAAAACTGGAAAGGATCCAGAAGTGAGTGACAAAGATGATCAAAGGGATGGAAGGCAAGCCGTATGAGCAAAGGCTGAAGGAACTAGGTATGGTGAGTTTGGAAAAGAGGTGATTAAGGGGGGACATGATAGCAGCGTTTAAATATTTGAAAGGCTATCATAAAAATAATGAAGAAAAGTTCTCTCTTGCCACAGAGAGCAGGACAAGAGGCAATGGGTTCAAACTACAGCATAAACAGATTTAGATTAAATCTCAGGAAAAACTTCCTAACTGTAATAACAGAATGACAATGGAACAGACTTCCTCGAGAGGTCGTGGAAGCTTGGTCACTGGAAGTTTTCAAAAGGAGGCTGGATAGCCATCTGTCCTGAATGGTTTAAACACAATAAACATTTGGGAAGAGGGTTAGACTAGATGACCCTTGTGATCCCTTCTAATTGTATGGTTCTATGACCCAGGGTGAGAGAAGGAGTATTATTGCCTTGTCAGCCTTTTCAGGATGCTCCATGAGGTTTCAGGTATGAGCATGGAGAATGAGGTGAATCAAGGGGGAAGCCATGGAGCTGCACTGTCTCAACACACCCAACCCCCGAAAATGTTGTAAGGAAGTTAATCCTGACTCAATCAACATTAATTTACATATCTTTCTCCTCCATGATGTAGATAACTTCCTTTAGGAGGGCGGTTCTAGGGCAGATAGTAAGCATGGATTTTGGGATGGACAGTACAAAGATGGGCCACGAACTACTGCAGAAGCAGAGGGCCTCCATGGAGCTCAAAAAAACCCATGCATTTTGTTGTCTGAAATGCCAGCCCTCCCAACAGAAGAATGTCTAAGCTCCAATTGTAATTTACTGCCCATTTAGTGGATAACAGTCCTATATTAGCAAGAGCTTAGAAGAGCATTCTGAGCACTTAGTAATTATATTAACAAATTTTACCTGATACCTCCGTAAGCATGGCTGTATGATCGCTCACTGCAAACTTCACAAATACAACTTCATTTCTAAAATGATCAATTCCTTGAAATGATAAATCCAAATGTTTTCCTTGTAGGAGTTCTTCTACTGCATCTTTGCTTTCTAAAAGAGCACCGACTGCTCTGTGAAGGGAAGAAAAATCTCTTTGATATAGTAATAATTTAATTTAATTTCTCATGTCTTCCATTCAGGGATCTCAGAATTTTATTAATTAAGCCTTTCAACACCTTTGTGTTACCTTATACCAGTGGTATAGGTATAATTTGCCCCATTTTATAGAAAACTGAAACAGACTTGCCCCAAGGTCACAGAGCAAACATTTATTAAAGCCTCGAGTAGAGTATTTTGTTTTCTGAGTGTTTACCAATGTATCCACTCAGTGTTCATACACCTCCTGTCTAAACTCCTATCAGAATATAGATGCTGTTGAGAAAATATTTATTTTACAGGAACATAAGGTTACGCTTAACCATACACTCTCCAGAAACATGGGTGTTACAGGTGTAACCTTCTGCCCAGTAGAGACTCAGCTAATTAGTCCAGGGTTGGGAACCAGGGAGAAGGAATCACACTTGTTAAAAAGAAAAGGAGTACTTGTGGCACCTTAGAGACTAACCAATTTATTTGAGCATAAGCTTTCGTGAGCTACAGCTCACTTCAAATTGGTTAGTCTCTAAGGTGCCACAAGTACTCCTTTTCTTTTTGCGAATACAGACTAACACAGCTGTTACTCTGAAACTTGTTAAAAATGGATCTGTATCTAGGACACAGAACAGAGGCCTTTCTGAGACTGTCTGGAAGAAGCTAAGAACCCAGCATAGCTCTCTGGCAATCCCCGCGCTCTGAGCTATGTCAGATTACATCTGAGGATCTGGTCCCAGGCGATGGTACTGTTAATATGACTGACCACGGCACACCTTGGGCTAGCCTGGCATCAGTACAGTGCAGTCCAGTCCCGTCCCAGACTGTTAAACAGAGATCTGATGTTGGGGAAGCATTGTAGGGGCAATGAGGTCTTTGACTGCTACACACAAGCACAAACATTCTGCAAATGCATGTTGAGGGACCAACGAAGATATTAAAGAGCTGGTGAGAGTATGTGAGTCTCCTAACCAGTTTCTGAAACTCAACATATAACTTAGTTATGTAAAGATGCATACTGCATTGTTCTTTAAAGGCAATATCCTGATCTCATTGAAATCAATGGCAAATCTCCCACTGACTCTAATGGAACCAGGATTTGAGCATAAGTGTGCACCTAAAGAATTTAAAATTTTCAAATGCACATGTTCAGTACTCAGCCAACATTAATTCCTGTGGCAAAATCCAAGCATTGGGCACATCTTTAAGGAAGTCTCATTAACACTGGCTCCTTCTGTCTCTGTTCTTGCCCTACAGCTCTGCTCTTTGCTTTGAATTAACTGAGCCTGTGGCACTTATTAACAGTCGTCAGGACAGTTTCAATTTAATTACTTGCACCAATAGTAGGAAAATTTTCTGAATTTTAAGTGTGATTTTTTTTTAAGATTACAGTAACTGAACAATCAAAGGGAAAAAATTCTTTCAGTTTGCTTACTTTGTGTATTGTCATTTTCATTTGTTTCCTTTTGACTAATATGTCAGTTTTTCCATTTTTGTGTCTTTCACAGAGCAACAGAGGAGAGAATTTTATTTTTTAAATTAAAAAATATAAAACCACAAATTATTTGGGGGACATAATGGTAGGTGTAATACCATAGAATACTATTTAACTCATTTTTAAAAACAGACTAGATTTCAAATAGATGTCTTTTTAACTCCTGTGCATCACATCTAATAAGAATTCCTTACTGTTTTTATGCAGCTCTGCATTTTCAAACGTAAGTTTGTACTTTTAAAATGAGTATTTTTCAAATATGCACTGTTCATTTAAGTACTACAGTATGACCATGCTAAATCTGAAATTTCAAATGACAGTCATTTTTGAGGTACCCCACAAAAGATTGGGGTCCCCTGCCAGACTGCTGTTGGGAGGGGGGAATATTTTTGTTCAGACTTTCAAGAGCTATTTTGCTCAAACATTCTAGAAATCTTCAGGGTACTGGCCAAATTCCAACTTTGCTACTTAACACTCTGCTTCCCTAATTTGTCTTGAAATTTCAACTGAATATGGTGTTTTACTTCACCTCCTAACCTAAACTATTGCATAAAATTACTGTGTTCTGTTAAACAGATGCTGCGTTTCACTTTAGTGGTACTTGAACAGATCCTTTGTAATGGTTTGCATATCCCTGTAATCAGTTTACAAAGCACTTAGGGATTTTTGGGATAGGAAGCACTATTACTGTCCTTACTTTATCTTGTTGATAGGAGAGAAGTAGCATGCAGGTATAAGAATAAATGTATGCTTTAGTTGACAAACAAGATCCATTAGCATTCTAATAACCATTTTCAACAGACCTTTTTGTATACATGAAATAGTTGTCCTTGTCTTGAAATGACCTTCAGATTCAAGGAGGTAGAGATCAATGAGTACATTTTTAGTGCCACAAGGGCAATAAGACCTACAACTCGGTGATGGAAATTGTTTTGTAGGTAGTATTCCCCACCTACTGCAATGAAATTTTTCCTTAGTTATTGTCAATGAAATATTAACTTCACTGATGGGATGTTGACTTTATAGTCACTAGGTGGCAGTATTTACCTGCAAAATAGATATATTCTACTGGTGGCACTGCGTACTTGTAGCTACACACTGCAGTAAAAAGCAGGCTGTGTCCACAAGGCAGTATGTAGCTACACACATCAGTGAAAGGCCCTCGCAGTGGGGAGACAGTAAGAAAAAGTTCTAGCAGCTCCACACTGTCTTACCCCGTCAGAGCTTTTCCCCACAGCTGGAGTCTTTCACTGTGGTAGAGAGAGAGAGCCTCTGGCAACTCCCTGTGGCAGGGAAAGGCTCCAGCAGCTGCGAGCTGATAGATCCTTTCCCCACTGCCTCTGCCCTACCAAAACCTTTCCTGTGCTGGAGTGTTCCCCTGTGGAGGGGAAAGGCTTCAGCAACTCCCAGAGGTGGGGAAGACTCCAGCAGCAGGTCACTATGCTGCTAAAAAGTATCCATGTAGAAGGGGGAGGCATTGCTTGGATGTATAAGGAGCCACATAGGGTATATACTTTAAGGATTCAGGCATGTCTTTACTCACCTAAGCAGTCCCTCACTGTCTACGTTGCTATTTGTACCCATGCTAAGGAGGCATGCAGTGTATGTACTCTATACCCTGATGTAAGGAATCTGCAGTGTAGATGTACCCTTAGAGGCTCTGATAGATCAAAATAAATGTAGAGTCTATCTGTAGTATTTGGTCTAGATAATACTTAGTCATGCATGCCATGAGTGCAGAGGACTGGACTAGATGACATCTCAAGGTCCCTTCAAGCCCTATGATTCTTCTTATAAGCAAGCTACCACCATGGCAACTAAAAACTTTCGTATCCTATCAGGTATCGTAGGTTAGATCATTCGTTATGCCCACACATTCAATAACCTGCAATGGGGTGTGTACATTCTTATAATCTTATATGAATACACTCCCCTCTACTTTTCCAATGTCTCTGTGGTACTGAGGGCTTGGGTGAGAATTAGATGGTTGACTGAAACCTAGTTCAGGTAAAAAGTGATGTTGGCTGAATTAGGAAAACATCTAGAGGTAACAGCAGATGTGATATGTTCTTTTCATTAGGGTATCCTTGCCAATTTTTAAAATGAAGTTTGCGACCTTCACCATATAAATAAAACCTGTAAGTTTCTGTATGCCCAGATAGGATCAATGGACAAACGTACTTTTACTCATCTGTGCTTCACAAAGGGGGTCTGACTATTCCTTATGCATGTACACCTCCCCAGACACTTTTCTACCACCAGGCTGGATTACTACAATGAGCTCTACATGGAGCTATACATGAAGACGTCTCTCAAATTTCAGCAAGTGCAGATTCAGCTGCCTTTCTTTGAAGGGTATTACAAATGATGCATATTAGCCTACTGTTCCACAGACTACTAGTGGCTGCTAATTTTGTTTCAGGTCCTGGTTACCTTAGACATGGTTTTCCTCCGCGCCCCCCCGCCCTTTTTTTTGTGTGTGTGCATACAGCACACGCGCGCACACACACACACACACAGTTGGCATCAACTGGGACATCAAGCAGACAGTTTCTAGCTTTTTAGATCTGGGAACTGGTAACGTATAAAAGGGCCTTTAACAGTGGTACTGGGTCCCCCATTAACTGAATATACCTCACAAGCCCATCTATTGACTCAGGCTTTGCCTGATGGATGGGCTGTGAAGGATCAGTTTTGGATTAGAGCAGTGTCTTTTCAGTTTGGCTTTGTCTCGTTGAAGAATTAGTTGTCTGTGATTTTTATAATGTGTTGGTCTATAGAAAGATTTAATAAAGTGGCTTTCTATACAATTTCATACTTTTTTTTCTGTATCCTAGCTTAACATTTTTATAGCACTCAGAATTGTTTTCTAAGTGTAGAGTGGGTGGGCCAAATCCTGGTCACTGTACCCAAGCAAATATTCCTAGACTCTTCAATATTAATATAAACGAACAAGCAAGATTTGACCCTATATTCCTATTTTTCCATTTATAAAGTGTCTCAAGTAGCATTTAAATATTACTTATTCTGACTGAAACAAGATTACCATTACATGGTACTGTTATACATTTTTAAACTCAGTTCAACTAACATTCAGAGATAATGAGAGGGGAAATTTACAATGATCCCTAGATTTCAGAGCTGGATGAGGAAATAATAACAGGAACAAAACATCCTTCCAGAAATATGTAAAACTGATTTATAGGAGCTGTCCGTGTTTTTTTCTGAATTATATAATCTAAACATTATGACATTTTAAGTATGGATCTCAGCTCTTTTAAATTAACAATTTAGAAAAGTCTGACAAAAATGAAGTTAATATAGGCAAAACAAATTAGAACCCTTTCAACTGTTCATATATGTCTGCTGAGGGGGTCAGATATGGGCTATATCTGTTTCTTTCTTTCTCTTTCCATGCTTTAATATTTAAGTTACCAGTTATTTGCTGTAACATTGAGATGTGAGAGCAACTTAGGGCCAAGATGTACCTTGCTGAAACCAAACTTGTTAAAACTTATTTAGCATTTTGTCTCCTTCTGTAAACCTAGTGGTGGTCTGTACCAGAAATTAGTGAAGTATATAAAATCAAAGAAAGCACAGTTCAAACTTTTCACTCTTTAATCTTTTGAAAGAATGGATTTGAACACATGCAGGAAAGAACTAAAAACCTTCATTCTCTACTGTAAGCAATCTAGAGCATTATTATTAAATGCCCACATCCCCACTCAGGATCAAGATCCCATTGTGTAGGACCTATATAACTATGTAAAAAAGATACATTCCTTGTCCAAAGAGACTACTGTGTAATTAGACAAAGTAAACTGAAAGACCGATAACATGTGAGCAACAGTCAAAGGTACTTCAGTTACATTTTTTAATTGTGGTTTCCTCAAGCCATATTCCCATTCTAGCCCCATATCCTTTTTTTTTTCCTCTGCACAGACACATCAACCAATATGCTCCCCTATTGTTGAACCAACATGCCCTTCTTTCACCCCGGCCATCTCACAGAAACTTTTATTTTGCTTTTAATGCTTCCTCTTCTATTGTATTACTTTCATCTTTTGTTTTGTTTTAATGCCAGGTATCTCCGTTTTTCTCTGCATCTTTCTTCCAGGATCAATCTTTAATTAGAAGTCAACCCCATATTGCCCCCACTTCTCAAACTTTCACAGTTTAGCTCAATTAACAATTTTGCTGACTTCAGCAGGATGTGAAATCATCTGGAGTCATTTAGAGCATGCTTCTCTTACACTACAGCAGCTGTCCTAAGGCAGCAATGGCCTCCTTGGGCCATTGCCCAGGGCAGGAGGAAGCTCATGTGCTCCTGCCCTGGTATTTCAGGGGACAGAGGATTTGGGGAGATGAGGGTGCCCAACAGGTCTAGACTGGCCTGCTCTCCCTGCTGCTCTTTCTGGATGGCTACCTCTGTACCTCTCCCATTAGGGGAGCAGGGCCTTATGCGTAAGGCTACGTTTATGTCACGGAGATCATGGAAGTCACAATCTGTAACTTCCAGAGACCTCTACGACATTCTCTGCTTCAGCCCCTGGGGCTGTGGGACTCTGGAGCAGGCAGTCAGCAGGGCCGTGGGCAGGGTTCCATCGACAGCAGTGACAGGGGCCCCCTGCAAGGTTCCAGCAACAGGTGACAGACTCCTGAGGAGGCCCTCCTCAGGGTTCCAGCGATGGGCGACAGCCTTGCACAGGAGGGGGATGCCTTGGGTGAGCAGCTGGGGGTGTCCCGTTTTCTCTTCGGGAAATATGGTTACTCGGTAGCTTCCAGCTGCCGCAGGTGGAAGGAGAACCCCACAGCTCCCAGCCACCACAGTGGCAGGGGAAACCAGGAGCCATAGCAGCAAAACTCAGACAGGTCACGGCTTCTGTGAATTTTTGTTTATTGCCCATAACCTGTCTGTGACTTTTACTAAAAATAACTATGACAAAATCTTCGCCTTACTTATGCATCATCTCTTCGGGTAGAAGCTGTCAGGTTCCTGCTCATGTGCTCTGGTGAGGGATGAGGGCACAGAGCCCTAGAGGTTCTGGTGTCCAAAATGTATGAGAGTGGAAGGGGGGAAACAAGCACAGTAGATAATTTAGAGGGTCCAATATCTCATTTTTTTATTGCAACTTAAGTGCAATAAAGCCCAAATACTTTCAGTACATTTTAGATTTTTCTCTTATTGAAAGAATCATGCCTCTAGCTACCAAAATGTTTCTGTTGCCACATAAAACATGAAGTACCCATGAAAAGGCTGGCTAATCCCTTACTAGAGACAAAATGCTAAAACTGCCCTAAATTACAACTTGGAATTGTAACTACAAATTTTTTTGAAAGTTTAATACAATTAGAATTTTTGGCTCTAGGTGACATAATAATACTCAACATGAGTGCTGGTTTATTATCATACACACCTGGTATTTCATAACATTAAGATGCCCCAAGTAGTGCTCTGTAGCAATGATTGCACTACTTAGAGAGAGTCCTATATCCTTAAGTATCAGAGGAGTAGTCATGTTAGTCTGGATCTGTAAAAGCAGCAAAGAGTCCTGTGGCACCTTATAGACTTAGCCCTGGTCTACACTAGGACTTTAGGTCGAATTTAGCAGTGTTAAATCGATGTAAACCTGCACCCGTCCACACAATGAAGCCCTTTTTTTCAACTTCAAGGGCTCTTAAAATCGATTTCCTTACTCTACCCCGACAAGTGGATTAGCGCTTAAATCGGCATTGCCGGGTCGAATTTGGGGTACTGTGGACACAATTCGACGGTATTGGCTTCCGGGAGCTATCCCAGAGTGCTCCATTGTGACCGCTCTGGACAGCACTCTCAACTCAGATGCACTGGCCAGGTAGACAGGAAAAGAACCGCGAACTTTTGAATCTCATTTCCTCAAGAAAAAAGGCGCGAAACGATTGTCTGCTGCTGCTTTCACGGAGGGAGGGAGGGAACGGGGGCCTGACGATATGTACCCAGAACCACCCGCGACAATGTTTTAGCCCCATCAGGCATTGGGATCTCAACCCAGAATTCCAATGGGCAGCGGAGACTGCGGGAACTGTGGGATAGCTACTCACAGTGCAACACTCTGGAAGTCGACGCTTGCCTCGGCACTGTGGAAGCACTCCGCCGAGTTAATGCACTTAATGCTCTTAGAGCATTTTCTGTGGGGACACACACACTCGAATATATAAAAACAATTTCTAAAAAACCGACTTCTATAAATTCGACCTAATTTCGTAGCGTAGACATACCCTAACAGACGTATTGGAGCATAAGCTTTCGTGGGTGAACACATGCATCCACTGAAGTGGGTAATCACCCATGAAAGCTTATGCTCTAATACGTCTGTTAGTCTATAAGGTGCCACAGGACTCTTTGTCGCTTTCATATATCCTTGTACTTTGTCTTCTAACAATGCCAACAAAAACAGTGACTGTTGTGTCTTATTCCTTAAACAGAACTCTCTTGAAGGAGATGAACATGTAAAGCGTTCCTCCCACAGAATTAAATAAGGATTTGATTCATTTGCTGTTAATGCATCCTGATTTATTTGCAGTGCCCTAGGTAAAACTCAAGATAATTTGGAGTAAAAGTTGAAAACCACTTGACAATTTAAATAAAAAGACCAGAAAAAACGAGGACATTCACATGCTACTATAATGTAGTAACTTTAAGGCTAATACAAAAATTGACTAAAGAAAGGAAACAAACAGCTAATGTTTAACTGCAATTGCCAAACAAAAAATGTAGTTTAAATTTAAATGAAGGTTTCTAAATTGTGCACCACTCATAAAAACAGCTTTGAAAAATGTTATACTAACAAACTTACACACAGTAAAGTTTGGAAAGTCTCAGTTAATTCTGTCAATGAATTCTTATTATTTTACTAAATTTACAAATTAACTATAAAGTCAAACAATCTTCAGAAGAGAACCTTAACCTTAGTTTTCTATCATACTACACTGTAGTTGTATGGATATGACTGTGTTCCATGGATTAATAAATGATATACTGTCCTCTCAGATGTCTCCACACCCTCTCACATTTGATCTAGTTGTCTTTGGTCTAACGTAATATTCATCTGCCTCTACTGTTGGAAAGGTTTGCTCACCCTTCTTCAAGGAGGCATGCAATTTAAGGGGACTGTTGGATCCCCAAGTGTTCCTGAAGTCCCAGGAGGGGTATTCATCAGTATTTTGCAAAATAAATGAAACTATTTTTCTTGTATGTGGACTGTCACAGTTCCCAAACCCGTTATGATTTCTAGATTGAAACTATAATGTGCAACTACGTTGGACTCCCACCAGAGATAATTCAAAGCTCATCTGTTGCAGAATGGAGCCTAACTGCTTAATGAAACTGGCTACTCCACAGACTATACTGGCTTCCTATTTGCTTCCAAGTGCAATTCAAGGTGTAGATACTGATCTTTAAAGCTCTATATATTGCTACCTGAGACTGTGACATCACCTATCTCCTCATGCTCTGTTGAGGTAGCTAAAATCAACTAACTACCTAAGTTGGTTGACCTAGAGAAAAAAGAAAAAGCAGCTGTCAGCCAGCAGAGAGAAGCTACTACCTGTACTAACTCTCAGCAGAAAGAGAGATGAAAAACCAGGCCTAAGGAGCAGGCTCAGAACGGGACATGGATGGATAACTCTGCCTAAATAAAGCATTATAAGGTGGTGAGAGAACTGAAACACTTTCATCTTCCACAGGGCACACTTTAGTTTCAACTCAGAATTAAAGGGTTAAGCATACACCATAGTATGTTGTACTGAACATTTCAAAGTCCAGGTATATAATCAGTCTTGGGAAATTTAGAATTGTTACCCTTTATACATGTACATTAAAATGGGATCCTCTTCCCTGAATTCCCCTACAACTAAAGAAATAGATTTTTAATGTACATAATTTAACAGCAAAACACTTACATGCCAACTTCTTCTTCGCTGGATAAATGCATCACTAACAGGGTGACATGTAAGGAGCCATAACGAACCATTGCTTGGGAAAACCTGTGATCCTTTTGTACTACTATATCTTGGACAGCCTGAATACCTCTTGTAATCTAAGAGAGACAAAAAATATACAAAAACACAACTAGTCATCATAGTTTTTTCTATCCCACATTACAAGCAAGAAAGAAAACAAACTCACTAAAATGCTGGTAATAGCTCACCTTAAGTGATCACTCTCGTTACAGTGTGTATGGTAACACCCATTGTTTCATGTTCTCTATGTATATAAATCTCCCCACTGTATTTTCCACTGAATGCATCTGATGAAGTGAGCTGTAGCTCACGAAAGCTTATGCTCAAATAAATTTGTTAGTCTCTAAGGTGCCACAAGTACTCCTTTTCTTTTTACATAAAACCTGTTCAAGCAGACACAAGTTTCATCATCTTCTTGACAGAGTTTTGTTAATCTGCCTGAGTAAACTCAAAGTGGGTAGGAAGTAATGGAGTTGCTATTGTACGGCTGGACATCCCAGAGTCAGGGTTCAGTAGCAGCTTGTTCTCTGAAGCATGATAATTCCCAGAACAGGTTTTAAGGCAGTAGCTCTCAACCTTTCCAGACTACTGTAATCTTTGCGGGTATCTGATTTGTCTTGCATACCCAAGTTTCATCTCACTTAAAAACTACTTGATTACAAAAACAGATGTAAAAATACAAGTGTCACTCACAGCACACTATTACTGAACAACTACTTTCTCATTTTTACCATTAATTAAAAAATAAATTGGAATATAAATTACTTTTTAGTATATACAGCAGTATAAACAAGTCATTGTATGAAATTTTAGTTTGTACTGACTTTGCTAGTGCTTTTTATATAGCCTGTTGTAAAACTATGCCAATATCTAGATGAGTTGATGTACCTCCCTGGAAGACTTCTACGTACCCCTGCTTGAGAACCATTGGTTTAAGGTGCTCCACTTTTTTTCCCCCATGCTATGCTGTCAATATCCTAAATTAGAGGCTTCTGCAAGAACTTCCTCCACCAGCCTATGATAAACCTCATCATACAGTAGGGGATGAGGGACTACAGCCAGCTTTTCCAGGATCTTATGTGTAGCACACAGATGAGAATTCAGTAAATAATGTGCTGGGCCATTTGAGTTACAACTCCTGAGTTTTCTATTTGAGGAGAAAGCTAGATAGTACCCATTCTTCAAATATATTTTTAGGAGTTGCTTTATACAGAATATTGATACATACGGTTGTTAAAATACTGTCAATCTGCTTGTTTTAAAAAAAAAATTAACAACTTTTCTTTCTATCAGGAACTACACATAAAGAAATGCTTGCATGATAAATTTTATCCAACAGTCTTTACTGCATATGAAAATACAATCATCATGGTTATTACAAAAATTGCTACAAAGCCTAAATATAATATTAGTGAAAATCAAATCAAACATAGCTGATTTACTATAATCTTGAGTATTTGGTAAAATGAGTAATTTCTTGAATTATAAACAGATTATCATTATCAAACACTACAGCCAAGCGAACCTTTGTGCAAATCACCTAAAAGAACCAATTTAGAAGACCTCAAAATGACTTTGAAATCTATAAATTAAAGTTGTGTAAAATGGGGGTGAGTGTGTGTGTGTGTGCAGCTGAGTAGCCCAGAGTCAGGGCTCAGTACCAGCTTGTCCTCAGCAGAAGCATGATAATTCCTGGACTACACACACATGCCAAATTTTCATAACAGAAGAGTCTGCTTTTGGATTTAAAAAGAAAAACCCTTTCACATGCAAATCTTTGCCTTTCACTTTATATTAAAAACCTTATTGATGCTGAACAACCTCTCCCAAAGAAAACAATGAGAGTTGTGAGCGTTCAGCACCGTTCATGATCAGGGCCTTAAACAATCTCTGCTACATGAAAGCCTTGTTTTTATGTGCCATGTACTTCCTGTGGCACCATATAAATAAGTAACAAATTAGAACAGAAGGGGAGTGATGGCAAAGAAAGAAGGGAAAAAATAGCATGCCTAGTAAAGGAAGATGTCTAATGTCATCTGAAATTTTTTTTCGCAGTGTCTGAGCATAAATTACACTGCAGTAAGATTCTACTAGTATTTTATCTCTGTCACAATTTGGCACTTGCATTCCCCCAAATAAATGACACTTTCACTGAATTCTCAAAAGACATGAAATATGTAGCTTCACAGTTACACAAAATGTTGATGAACATGATCCCAGATAATTGCAATTTATTTACTGCACAGATAATACATAATGTCATAAACTGGAGAAAAGTGCAATTATCCCAATGGGGAAAAGTCCAAAGTATAAAGATGGAGTTTTTCAATTACCAGTTTACTCAGTTTCTGATTATAGTTTCCAGGAAAATTTTCAAGACAGAAAATAGTTTAATTTGTTCCTTCCTGAGAGACAGCAAAAGAAAAAAATGCAAGCTCAGTTATAACAATACAAGCCCTTCAGGATACAGAAGATATATGCTTACACAACTAGGAAGCTATTATCAAGACTGTCCTGGCTCCAAACAAACAAAACCCCAGATGTTTATTAGCGAACAAGGTCAATTTCAAAGATGGCAGACCACAGCTGGGTCCAGAGGCAAGCCACAGCTAACCTTACCATCAGAGAATGAGCAGGGAAGTAAGAATCGAGATGCCCCTCTGTTTCAAAGTCAGAAATGGAAAAGAACAGAGAGAGCAGCTATGAGGGTCAGCATTCTACACTAGTGGTTCTCAATCAGGGCTTCGTGTATCTTTGGAGGTACTCCGAGATCTTCCAGGGGGTATATCAACTCATCTAGATATTTGTCTAATGTTACAACAGACTACATAAAAAACACTAGTGAAGTCAGTCCAAACTAAAATTTCATATGGACAATGACTTGTTTATACTGTTAGTGATCTCTCTCCTGCCATCCATCTCCACCCTCTGACAAACAGAGGCTAGGGACACCATTCCTTACCCATCCTGGCTAATAGCCATTAATGGACTTAACCTCCATTAATTTATCCAGTTCTCTTTTAAACCCTGTTATAGTCCCGGCCTTCACAACCTCCTCAGGCAAGGAGTTCCACAGGTTGACTGTGTGCTGAGTGAAGAAGAACTTCCTTTTATTTCTTTTAAACCTGCTACCCATTCATTTCATTTGGTGGCCCCTAGTTCTTATATTATGGGAACAAGTAAATAACTTTTCCTTATTCACTTTCTCCACACCACTCATGGTTTTATATACCTCTATCATATAACCCTTTAGTCTCCTCTCTTCCAAGCTGAAAAGTCCTAGCCTCTTTAATCTCTCCTCATATGGCACCTGTTCCAAACCCCGAATCATTTTAGTTGCCCTTTTCTGAACCTTTTCTAATGCTAGTATATCTTTTTTGAGATGAGGGGACCACATCTGTACGCAGTATTCAATATGTGGGGGTACCATGGATTTATATAAGGGCAATAAGATATTCTCCATCTTATTCTCTATCCCTTTTTTAATGATTCCTAACGTCCTGTTTGCTTTTTTGACTGCTGCTACACACTGTGTGGACATCTTTGGCAAACCATCCATGATGACTCCAAGATCTTTCCCCTGATTAGTTGTAGCTAAATTGGCCTCCATCATATTGTATCTATAGTTGGGGTTATTTTTTTCCAATGTGCATTACTTTACATTTATCTACATTAAATTTCATTTGCCATTTTGTTGCCTAATCATTTAGTTTTGTGAGATCTTTTTGAAGTTCTTCACAGTCTGCTTTGGTCTTAACTATCTTGAGCAGTTTAGTATCATCTGCAAACTTTGCCACCTCATTGTTTACCCCTTTCTCCAGAACATTTATGAATAGGTTGAATGGGATTGGTCCTAGGACTGACCCTTGGGGAACACCACTAGTTACCCCTCTCCATTCTGAAAATTTATTCCTACCCTTTATTCCCTGTCTTTTAACCAGTTCTCAACCCATGAAAGGATCTTCCCTCTTATCCAATGACAACTTAATTTACACAAGAGCCTTTGGTAAGGGACCTTGTCAAAGGCTTTCTGGAAATCTAAGTACACTATGTCCACTGGATCCCCCTTGTCCACATGTTTGTTGACCCCCCTCAAAACTCTAATAGATTAGTAAGACATGATCTCCCTTTACAGAAACCATGTTGACTTTTGCACAACAATTTATGTTCTTCTATGTGTCTGACAATTTTATTCTTTACTATTGTTTCAACTAATTTGCCCAGTACTGATGTTAGACTTACCGGTCTGTAATTGCCAGGATCACCTCTAAAGCCCTTCTTAAATATTGGTGTTACATTAGCTATCTTCCAGTTATTGGGTACAGTAGCTGATTTAAAGGACAGGTTACAAACCATAGTTAATAATTCCGCAATTTCACATTTGAGTTCCTTCAGAACTCTTGGGTGAATGCCATCTGGTCCTGGTGACTTGTTACTGTTAAGTTTCTCAATTAATTCCAAAAACTCCTCTAGTGACACTTCAATCTGTGACAATTCCTCAGATTTGTCACCTACAAAAGACCGCTCAGGTTTGGGAATCTCGCTAACATCCTCAGCCGTGAAGACTGAAGCAAAGAATTCATTCAGTTTCTCTGCGATGACTTTATCGTCTTTAAGTGCTCCTTTTGTATCTCGATCATCCAGGGGCTCCACTGGTTGTCTAGCAGGCTTCCTGCTTCTGATGTACTTAAAAAACATTTTGTTATTACCTTCTGAGTTTTTGGCTAGCTGTTCTTCAAACTCCTTTTTGGCTTTTCTTATTACATTTTTACATTTAATTTGACAGTATTTATGCTCCTTTCTATTTACCTCACTAGGATTTGACTTCCACTTTTTAAAAGATGCCTTTTTATCTCTCACTGCTTCTTTTGCATGGTTGTTAAGCCATGGTGGCTCTTGTTAAGTTCTTCTACTGTGTTTTTTGATTTGGGGTATACATTTAAGTTGAGCCTCTATTATGGTGTCTTTGAAAAATGTCCATGCAGCTTGCAGGGATTTCACTCTAGTCACTGTACCTTTTAATTTCTGTTTAATTAACCTCATTTTTGCATAGTTCTCCTTTCTGAAATTAAATGCTACAGTGTTGGGCTGTTGAGGTGTTCTTCCCACCACAGGAATGTTAAATGTTGTTATATTATGGTCACTATTTCCAAGCGGTCCTGTTATAGTTACTTCTTGGACCAGATCCTGCACTCCACTCGGGACTAGATCGAGAGTTGCCTCTCCCCTTGTGGGTTCCTGTACCAGCTGCTCTATACATTATACACTGAAATGTAAGTACAATATTTATATTCCAAATGATCTATTTTATAATTATATGGTAAAATAAGAAAGTAAGCAATTGTTCAATAATGGTGTGCTGTGATACTTTTGTATTTTTATGTCTGATTTTGTAAGCGAGTCATCTTTAAGTGAGGTAAAATTTGGGGGTACACAAGACCAATCAGACTCCTGAAGGGGTACAATACTCAGGAAAGGTTGAGAACCACTGTTCTGCATAATCTATACTATTCCAAAGGCAAAATATTGTTACACAGAAGTATGTTTGTGAGCCTCTGGGAGAAGTCCATCTCTAGCATGTCCCTCTTGAATTCAGGTAACCAAAATTAAATGCAACAAACAAGGTGCAGATGTGCGACCAATTTGCAGGCTTCCATTTTCAGGTTTTGTTTATTATTTCTGTTTTAATACAGCCAAGTATCTAAATTAACTCTTTTGAGCAGTGTGATACAGATATCCGATATTTTAATTAAGCTAAACAAGACTCCTCTTAGATCTCTCATATCTAGTGATGAACCCATTAATAGATATGAAATGTTTAAATTGTTTTTCCTATTGTACATTACCTTTCACTTTTCTACATGAAATTTTATCTGCCAATTTTGATAACAATTTAATTTAATTTAGATCCTTCCAGTCTTCTTCACAAACCTTGGTAGTTTTAATTCAGTAAAATAAATTGTTGAGTGCAGATTTCAACAACTCGCTATGTACCTCCTTCTCCAGATAATAAAGTGTTAAAAATAAATGTTTCAAAGGAGTCTAGTTCTGATCCCGTGATCATCCTCACCGTAACTATTTAGAATTATATATTGAAGTTATCAAATAACATTATTCTTACATGCAAGAATTTGGTTTTCTGGCATGCAAGAATAATGCTAAAAAGTTAATACAAAACTGATTACCTTTAGAGTTGTAACACATCAAGTATAATCAATTTAATTAAAATATAATCTTGAGGACCTAGAAACAGCATCTTCAGACACATAGCATATCAGTTGAAATTTAACCTCATCCAAGCAGATTTACCAAAAGTGATGGAAACAATTATTATTCTTCATTTAACTATTTCTGTAAAATTTAACAGAGTATGAAGTTAAAATTTATGGAGCATCATATTTTTCTTCCAAAGATTCAAAACACCATTAAAATAACAGCAAGAGAAATCTTTCAGTCACAAGCAGGATAACTCACTAAATGTTTCCTGAAAAATCCCCCACTGCAAAACTGTTCCTGAATCACAGGGGTGTTTTTCACTGTAAAGCTAAAAAATGTAAGTAAAATCTTAATTCAGAAAGACTTGTACTATTGCCCAGAACACCTCAGAAGTAGTGAAATGAAATTCTCACAAAAGGAAGCTCTTTGTCCATCATCGTCTGAAATGGCAACACTAGTTAGAAGTTCCTCTCTAGCTTTACAAGATCCCATTTGTATTCGTTGGAATTTTTCCATTCAGGATAAAACTACCATTATAAAATCCAACCAGCACCTCCCACTTCCAGTTCAAACCCTACATCTAAGAAAGTTACAAACAGAACTTTGTAACATAAAAGCTCAGAATGACAAAGTAAATAAATAATAACCCCCATATCAAATGCTCTGAGACTTAGCACAGCTGCTATCCTCACAATTATTGTTAATGACAAATTAAGTCAAAAAAAGGAATTACCAATTTTAGGCATCATGAAAATGGCTGCAGAGTTTAGACCTTTCTGCTTTAACAACAAAAATTATTCAAATCCTATCAGCAATGACAGGAGCACTTTTTTTTCTTCCAGTTATGCTGTATCAATTTATTCAACCACTACACTAGCCTGGCAACTGCTATATAATGGGAGCAAAAATGAGGAAGTGAAAGATTCCAAATTCAGATGGTGTAAGAGATCTCATTTCTTCATTATCTAGTAAAGGCTGTCTTGGAGTCTGTATAATTAGTCATTGCAATCTTCCTCCATACTGACACCTAAGAGTGGAACATTTCACCATAACTTGCATACCTAGTTTGGTTTTATTAAATTCATTTTCAGCCATTATTCAGAATTCCTCAATACCGAGGTCTGTGTGTGAGTATATAGCACAGATGCAATTCCACTCTCTGGGTGACCCTCAAAAACATCTGATGGTGTCTGCTAACAAATATTTTTAAAAATCTAGTTCAGACCCTGTATTCAAATACTGGTTTTGACAGTATGAGTTTTACACCTAACACTGTATCTTATTTTCCTTGCTGAAGCCACAACAGGTACTCAGAACAGCCATATCTAGCAAAACTCCGTGTATATGTCAGCTAGTGAGAAGGAATCGTGCTCAGCTATTACTACCTTAACTAAGACAATGCATGCTAACCATGAGACAGACTAGGTGGGTGAGGTAATATCTTTTATCCCTATCTCACCCACTTTGTCTCTCTAATATCCTGGGACCAACACAGCTACAACAACATTCTAAACAACCATGAGATACATGTTCTTAAAGATCCTAATGTATGTCTTGAAACTGCTTGCACTGCATGAAACTCCAGCAATCTCTCAATTTAGTTAAGAATATGCATCAACATGCTTCTTAGAGACGTGAAACTAATAACTGCCTAATTGACTCTCAACCTATATATGTGAACTGGATGGATTTAGATTTTCAACTTTAACCATCATTGCTTGTCCCGGAGTTCTGAGCAGTAATTGTCCAGTTCTTCTTCAGACGGTCAGTTATCACAACACCCTGTCTTGTGGATGGAAGAAATCACTGAATGACCCCTTTTGGGGGAGGAAGAGAACCAACCAGTATTTCTTAGGTCCCAGTCCTGCAAACACATATGCATGCATGCAACTTTACTCACATGAGTAGTCCAAATCAATGGGAATACTCATGAACATAAATTTAAGCATATATGAGTGTTTGCAGGATTGGTGGCACTAGATTGTAGCTGGAGTTTGTCTGACACACTGTATCAGTCTATTTTTAACTGAAACCTATCCACATTAAAAATCAAATCACACACACACCCCTATTGGGCGAGCTGCTTTTCTATTCAGGGCAAATCAGACTTTAATATTCCACCTAACCTAGAGTAAACAGTAAGTAATTATTTTTAAAAGCAAATTTCAGGATAAAAATAATTATTTAAGTAGCTGTGGTCCCCTAATGATATTTGACACATTGGCCCTGATCCTGCACCTGGCTCCACAAGGATGGAGTCCCAATGACTTTAGTGAGGCTGTGCATGGATCAGAGGTCTATCTGTGCAGTCAGTTGCAGAATCAGAACCAAAAATGAGCATTGCTACTAGAACTGAAATATTAGTGAGATGATAGTAGGTATATGCAAAAATCACATAGTATGCCTATAAATGCCTCTTTTTAGACAATAATGACCCTGAAATATGTCCTTTACATAACAGGTTTACAGTTTTTGGATTGAGGTGATCTGTTCACCATGAATTATACAGCAAATTGGACAAATTCCACGTTATTAAAGGAAAACAGTCTAAATGAAATCTACTCAACCTCATAAAATGAGCTAAAGTAGTATCATGTACACCTGTCCTCAGTCCTCCTACAATTTTGTGGATTCACAATGTACACTTTCCTATTTTTTAAAGTGTTCCTCTCCCCTGTTGCTGGGTGAATGACTTTCACAAACAATCTGAGTATACAGAGGGAAACAGTAAAACTGATTACACACAAACTGCTGTCAAATCCACAAATCTAACAACTGGATAACAAGAGAAAAAATGGTTTCTAATATCTTTCAGTTAGAGTAATCCATTGCTATTTGTAATAATGGTTAGTAAAAAAAAAATTTCAGACAGTGTGATTCTTAATTTGACACTGTTCCTTAAAGAATAATATAAAATAACTGGTTATACTTTAGGCCAGTGCTTCTCAAACTTGTTTGATCAGGCCCCCTTTCTTTTTGTCAGTAGTTGTTTATGCTATGTTCTCCCACCCCAAAGTCCATATACCACCATCCAGCTCTGAAGGCAGGGCAGAGAGCAACAAGAGTTTGCTGGGTGCCCAGCTCTGAAGGCAGTGCCATGCCAGCAGCAGCAAAGTAGTAAGGGTGGCAATGTGAAAAGTGATATTTGTCAATAACACTTTTCACAGAAGACTTAGCACCCCATTGCCACCCTTATTTCTGCGCTGCTGCTGCTGCACCCTAGGGCTGACAGACAGAGCTCCGCTGCCTCCAGGTGATGGATTGTGGGGGTGGGGAGGAGAGAAGAGCCTGAGCCTGAGCTGCATCCTGATGAGCAAAGGGTGGGGAAGGGGAGAAGAGGTGAGGGATTGGGTAGGGGAAGACAGTTCAAGTCGGAGGGGGGGGGGGGCTTTGGCTGTCCCCTTTATCTCTGCCTCCCAGGTGTGCACAGCCCTTCTCCATAAGCCCTAACCACCAGTGCTGACAGCCAGAGCTCTCTTCTTCTTTTATTATTTTTTTAAAGGAATACTGCTCACACCTCCCTTGACACATTCCTACGCCTCCCATGGAAGGCACGCCCAATAGTTTGAAAACTACTCCTTTAGGGTAAATATTGCTTGCCTTATTTACTCCTGTTTGAAGTAATTTTGCCCATAGAAAAAGAGAATAATAGAAAAGAATACCACCTTTGGGTTTGTAATTGGAAGAGAGATGAAATAGTTTGGCTGATATTGCTTTTTCTTCTTTGTTTGATCATCATCTTCAGCCTTCTTTCTAGTAGTTCTTTTTCTCCTCTTTTTAAAATACATTTCAAATGTACTAGTAACTGGGGGAAGAGAGGGAGAAGGCAAAACATTTATTTACAGATTAATAAAAAAACATACACAATAGGAAATACTACACCAATGTGAGTTGGTCTTGAGCCAGCAACATAAAGGTAAAAGGCACTACATCCCATTAAAAGGCCCTCATTCTTACTAAGTTTTCAAAAATAATATACCAATATAGCAGGGGTGGGCAAACTTTTTGGCCCGAGGGCCACATCTGGGTGGGGAAATTGCATGCAGGGCCATGAATGTAGGGCTGGGGCAGGGGGTTGGAGTACAGGAGGGAGTGCGGGGTGGGGTAGGGGGTGCGGTGTGGAGGAAGGGGCTCAGGGCAAGGGGTTGGGGTGGAGGAATGGTGTGGGGTGTACAAGGGGGCTCAGGGAAGGGGGTTGGGGTGCCGGAGGGGGTGTGGAGTGTGGGAGGGGGCTCAGGGCAGGGGGTTGGAGTGCAGGGTGCGGCAGGGGGCTGAGGGCAGGGGTTCAGGGTGCAGGAGGGATACGGGGTGCAGCAGAGGGCTCAGGACAGGGGGTTGGGGTGCGGGCTCCGGCCTGGCGCCACTTACCTGGAGAGACTCCGGGGTGGCAATGGCACACATCGGGACCAAGGTAGGCTCCCTGCCTGCAATTGGCACTATGTCCCTGCAGCCCCTGGGGGAGAGGGGACAGAGGGCTCCATGTGCTGCCCTTGCCTGCGGGTACCTCCCCCGAAGCTCCCACTGGCTGCGGTTCCCTGCATGGGCCAACTATCAGATAAGAGCCTAAATGTTTGATCTACATATGTTTAAACCAGTGTTGTTGTTTTTTAAATATACTTACTGCCAAATTCATCTTTAATATCTGTACTGGCAAATGGCATTTCTGCCATTGAACAATCCATGGAGTCAGGAGGAGTTTGTGACCCTTTTCTTCTTTTTGTTCTTTTCTTTTTTTTTGGAATGATTTTTTCCCCCTGCACATTTTCCAGCCCATCTGGAATATATTTAAAATAACACATTTAGTCTTAGATTTCTAATTTGAGACTATATATACAGTCTGTATTACTCTATCAGTAAGACCAAATTGCTCTTTCCCATTTTTTTCCTGCTTCAACATATCAGTAAATGTGCTTAATCAAAGTTGGACCTCAATCCTGACCTTACATTACATTGGAGTAAAGGAGTGTATCAGTCCATTTAGCCACATATGCTGGCTCCATATCATCTTGTCCAGTCCGAAGGAAAGGCAGACAGATGTAGAAGGGGTCACTACAGGCTTATCTAGACTGGGAAAATGAGCAATGCTCAAAAACATGTTGTTTAACATCTCTGTAAAAATCAACATGTTTTTAAACATTACTTAGTACCTAGTGTTAACAAAGTCAATGATGTTTAGAAACATGTGAGCTGGTCATGGTTAACAGGTTAAGTATCTCTCCATTGATCCTGGTCCCTCTTTTAAGACTGCAGTAACGTCTGTGGAGCCACCATTAGGTGGAATTCTGAGGTGACAATGTCCTCCTATGATGGAGTGTCCAACTCACACAACGCCTGAAGGGGTAAATTAGGCCAATTAAACTATAGGCTGCACCCAAAGGAAAGCCAGGGTGTGCTAAGACCTAACTGCTGATCAAGTCCGGCTGGGGGTAGCTGGGCCATCCCAACAGAAAGGGGCTGCCAGGAAATTGTCTGCAATTACTCCATGGGAGAGGGGAGACATGTTTGGGAGTTACAGTACCAAGCTGCTCCTGGGGAGGTGTGTGTTTGGGCTGATAAACCTAGAGAGGGGGGGAAGTCAGAATGTAGAGCTGAGAAGTAGGAAGGAGTCCAGGGCAAGAGTACCATAGTCTGGAATAAAGCAGGCTATTGTCGTAACAGATGCTGGACTGGAACCTGGAGTATAGGGTGGGCCTGGATTTCCCTACCAGCCACAGGAGGAGTGGTGTAGTCAGGGCAGAAAAGGGAATACTGCCATTTTTGTATGGAGGGACTTTGATACCTTGGAGGGCTGAGTCATGAAGAAGGACCACCCTGCGTCCCAGAGAAAGAAAAAGACAACGGGGTGAGGAACCAACAGAAAGGGGCATCAAACCTAGAATCATCTAATCCCCAAAGGAACCAGGAGGGGGTGCTCCAGCGGTGAGTGGACCCCATGATACCTCTCTAATACCATCCATTTCACTGAAGGGTGTTTCTTCAGTCCACTGATCCAACCCCCTCACCCAAAAATAACTCAGGGGAGGCAGATTGCCACTTTAAGCCACTGGGTAAAAATTCCTCCTTATCCCCCTTGTGAGTTTCTCTTGAACTCAGTGGGACTACTATTGTCAGTAAAGTTAAGCACAGTGAGCATCTGCAGCACTGGGGCCTTGGTATGTAACCCAATCCAAATGATCAGGCTGTACAAAAGGTTCATTACTCTTCTCAAATATGAAAAGCTGATTGGTGGGTAAGCCTTAATATTTAGTAACTGATATGTACCTTTGCAATCCCCTTTTTTATATAAGAGAAATAGTGATCAGTTGGTTGGTTGGTTCTTCTCTCATTCAGGAAGAGAATAGTTAAAGGTTCCCAGTAATAGTGGCGTATCCTTACTAGTCACAACTGTAACTTTGTTTTTTCCACACTCACAGGAAAGTAGTTATGTTTTGTTTGTATTTCAATATATTTGTGAGGTTGTAACTTATGTTCAAGAAAACTTTTTTTACTTTGAAATACAGAACTGCCAAAGTTTTGGGCAATTCCCAGACACTTTATGCAAAATATTTAAGTAAATATGTTGCATATTTTAATTCATTTGCATATAATCATAAACCCTAGCTATAAACAAAGTGGGTTTAGTGCTCATATACCTCCGCTGTCTGCTGCCCTGCTCATCTATAGGGCAACAACAAGGAAGGTTACCCTACCACCATAGCTCAGCTCTGATCTGGGGTGATTTCTAGAGACAAGAGGGCTAAGTCAGTCTCCAAGGCCCATACTGAGTCTGCCAATTAGTGCAAAGCATGGTAGTGATGACTTTATGATGCAGGAGCTGGAACTGACACTCACTAAACCCAACTCACAGAGGCCACCAAACATCCATTATTAGACATGAACAATCTGTATTTAATACCTGCTGAGTTGGATGCAGTGATACTTGTGACCTACAGGGACAAAAAGACTCTGAAGATCATTAACAATGTCACGAGGCATCTAATCCCCTGATAAGGGTTAACGTTACATCTTCATTCAATATACTTTGATTTTCATTTAAGAGAGCTAAGTTCAGTTTCTAAGCTTCTTTGTGAACTACAGGTGGCAGGATATCAAGCCAACACGATAATGAAAGGGTCAGCCTAACCAATGATTCATTCAAAATATTTTTTCTAAACTTACTAATGTAATAAACTAATGTAAGTTTACTCAGCTTTCCTTTTTGAACAAGCAAGTCTCTAGCCTTCATTGTTATAGAGGTTGCTGAGAAACACATGGACCAAATTTCCAGGGTTATCCTAATGGCTCAAACAAGAAGGCAAATAAAAAGAATTCTCAAAATATATATTTTTAAAATGTTCTGATTTATAGCCAATCTCAAGACTTGAGGGGTCAGACTCATTATTTTCGAATACAAATGGTTAGCAATATTGCAGGCAAGATCTTCCTCTCTCTGTGCACACACACACACACCCAACATCATCCACACACTGCTCTGTTTTCTTCAAAAAAAAAAAAGCCATAATATGTGCCCCCTACCCTGTTCTTAAAGGGAAAACACCCCTTAACCAAAGTACAAAGACTAAAAATAAAACAAATATCCAACTTCACCTCAATGTGACTTGCAATATGAAATATTCATCTATTCTAGGATCTGCACACTAACTTGCCTATATTTTTTCCTACGTGGGTCATAAACGAGAACTGAATCCATAGCCCTCCGACAGACACCATAGATGTCTACCACTTTCGCTACAGGAATGACTACATGAGATGTGCTGTTATCCTCTGTGACGAGCATCCCAGAGAGAGAGAAAACACACTGTTTAATAACTGGGTTACATAACTGTGAACTAGCAACTGTATGTTGGGCATGAGGATTCTATTCCTGGCTCTATGAGTAGAGTACGGTCTATAGGTTAAAGACATCATAGTGACTCCCCTGTTTGAGTAACTTGCAGTGACTAAACCTGGGATTGCTAATTCTAAAAACCTGAGCTTCTATCATTTGGGTTAAAGATCACTGTATATAGCAGTGGGGCAGCAATAGACACATAAATCTCTCTGGTCTAGTTGCTAAAGCAGGATAAAGATCGACACTGCATAATTTGGCCCATTATATCTGAAAGGCAGCATCGCAAGATGGGTGAAACTTGGGGCTGTTTGTACTAGCATTGCCTACAGTGCCTTATCCAACCTCTCTCATCTGTAAAATGGGTAAATGATTGCCTCACCTGAGGTAGAGGTCAGAGGCCTGGGTTAATAAAAATTGGGAAGTGCACAGAAGTATTAAGAATAGTCAGCAGAAGTGCTAAAATTAGAACCCGTGGTGTCTTGTATACACCTTCCTCTATTAAATAATCTGTGGGGAAATGGTTTCTTTCTGAAATGTCTGACATTTTCCTATTTGTGCAGAAACATGTGACAGACTTTGAAAATGCATAAGTGTCACAGGAAATACATGAGCTATGGCAAGTCTCTCTGAAGTTAACAGGTCATTCAAATATAATTAATAAGCAACAGGACAATTTAAAATTTCCTAAAAATTTCCCAAAGTCAATCACTACAGTATTTCCATCTACTAAGAGTTTTGAAAGCTGTAGATAGGGAGCCAACATAAATCACAATTCACTTGTTTCCACTCAATATACTTTGATTTTCATTTAAGAGAGCTAAGTTCAGTTTCTAAGCTTCTTTGTGAACTACAGGTGGCAGGATATCAAGCCAACACGATAATGAAAGGGTCAGCCTAACCAATGATTCATTCAAAATGTTTTTTCTAAACTTACTAATTATGCAACATAAATTTATCCACAAGTCATCTTTTCCTACGTTTGCTTCAGACTCTTTCATTTTATTCTGACATTATACATATCCAATTATATCTTCTAAAAAATGGAAAGCTGAAACCTCCTTTTGCATCTCTCAACAACTGTGCACAAAAGCAAGCATCCAGCAGTATTCTCCTAGTAAAACTCCACATTACAATGGTGTTAGTGTACTGGAAAATAAACTTATGTCAGAATTGCAGTTTATCACAGGACACCTCATTACCACAGACAAGCACATTTTCAAAGCTCCACTGATAACTAATGCAGATATTCCAAATCTAACCCCAGGGGAAAATTTGGCAGTAAACATCCACATTATGTTCTTGTGGCATGCAAAGCAACCACTGATTTGACAAATGTAGTGTAACAAACCTGATCTGTGTTGTTAGGACCCTGTAGACTGTTTCTTGGATACCACATCCCTAGTGCTAGGGAAGACAAGACAACAGATTAAGTACTAATTGGCTTCAGCATAAAGTGGGGGAGGGGAAAATCACAAAGTAAACTGTGATCTGAGTACTGAGGCTACTCAGGAGCTGTTCCAGTTACTCAACTGGATATTAAATGACTAAAAAGAAAAAGACCTGAAGAAGAGTCCTGGGTAAGCACAAAAGTTTGTCCCCCTCACCAATGGTTGTCCAATAAAAGACTACCTCACCAACTTCCTCTCTTTCAAACGAAATAAGGTATTTAGGAGGGTTGCCTGCTCACTTAGTGGACACTAAGAAGCAGAGATACAAAAGTTTTTCTGTGAGCACTCTTTGAACAGTATTTTATTTATTATTTAACTTAGACAGTGGTAGGTTCAGAGGCCAATCAAGCTGGGGTCCAATTGCACTAGGTGTACAAACCTATGCAAAATGATAATCCCTGCCTCAAGGAGATTACCACCTAAAGGACAAGACATAACCAATGAAGGAAACAAACAAGCAGGTCAGAGTGTTGAAGACGGAGATGGGCTAACAAA